TGTATGTTAGGAATTTTGAATATAAAAACTTTACACCAGAATAAGAAAATAGAAAATTGCTAATAATATATTTTTATATTCAAATAATATATTTTTATATTCAAATAATATATTTTTATATTTAAATAATATACTTTTATATTCAAATAATATATTTTTATATTCAAATAATATATTTTTATATTCAAATAATATATTTTTATATTCAAATAATATATTTTTATAGTAATATAGTAAATTAGTTAAATGCCTTTTGGTTAAATTTCCAGAAATATAATATGTTTTTGTGATCGAGTCATCACTTCTTTTGTGATAATGCCATGAAATTATTATTTCTATTATTTATTATGATTTTAAGTATTCTTCCATACTTAGTAGTATACATTAGTAACAAGTTCTATATTATATTATAAATACTACAAATTTCTATATTGTAAATACTATAAATTTCTGTTTTTATTGTAAAAGTTTTTTTTTTATTATGACTTTCACTTGCAAAAGTTATAATAAGTAGTCAACTGTTTTGCTCATTTTCAAAGTACTTTTTTTTTCTTTTTTTTTTGGTCTTTAATTTTTTTACTTCAAGAGAACTGGGAACTAAATCCCAAAAAATGAAAAAGATTTTTCTTTCTGGTTTAATTTTTAATGCAATGTTTTTTTGTTTTTTTGTTTTAGTTCAGTTTCTTCAATAACACTATTAAAAGGAGGTAAAGATGTTATGATCAAAACATTTACTCCATTCGGAAAATATTTCACAGTTATTTGTGAATTAGAAAATATTTCTGCTGTGCAACATCGAACAGGTAATCTAATAATGCATTTTTTTTTTGTACTAATCTTTGTTTGTATTGCAGTTTTCAATAAAATTTAGTTTTGTGAAGAATTCTAAAACATTTAAATTTTGTAGTCGTGACTGTTTAAAAAATTATATTTTAATAAAAAAATAAGTTTAATTTTATTAAATATAACTTAATAAAATTGATATTCAGTTTATCATAGAAAAAGCTGTCTTTGTATTACCCTTTAATATTCTGTTTAATATTTTGTTATGACATTAAAATTCAGTTATAGTCATTTGACCAATCAAATTTATTATTTATGCAGCCTATTATTTGCATGTTGTATGTTAGCACTGTGTAACACATAACTATTATACATTCTTTTTGTATATCTATATGATAAAAAATGTGATAAAAAAGTTATTTAAGTAAACTAAAAAATAATATAAAACTTATATCAATCTTTTGTATAATCAATTGTATCATTTTGTGTCATGCTTTTAGATCATAAATTTTTAAACTGTTTTTACATATTTAGTTGCTCTTTTGACGCCATATATATGGTATTTTAAGCATTATGATTGGTTGGTTTAATGAAATTCTATTGTTATAAAGAAAAGACATTGGAAGTCATGTTACTGTATATTTCTCCCAATCCAAAACAAATTAAACTTAAAGTGAAATCATACCTATATATGAAATTTGTATACTAAATTATATCATCAGACAGCAACTTAATAAACATAATTTATAATTCGTATGGAAACAATGTCTGTAGACATTTATAAACATTTATTTTTCATTAACCATTTTGAATATAATGAACATTTTTTAAATGGCTATTCAAATGTTGGAAATGAATTTATATCTCCAATATATGAATATATGAAATGTTGGATATATCAAATTTTAGATATATGAACTCATGGAACTGATTGAAGTTTAGCAATTGGTCATTTTCAGATGAATGTTCAGAACTGATCCATCTGGATCACCTGAATCCACTGGTAAAGTTACAAAATCTGTATTGTCAGCTTACTTTAAAATCTTTCTTTAAAGCTCATTAAAATTGTGCAAATGTACATGATAATATTTTTTTCACAAGTTCACTCTTAACAAAGCTGCTAGCAACTACTATTTATATTGGGAGTATACAGAAATCAAATAACAGAGCTTAAGAGTTTGAAAATGGTTGAGAGAATTAGTAAAAAACTGTAAGTTAAAAGTCAGGATAACATAAAGAGAAGAGAAAGTTAAAATAATGTTTAAGGAAAAAAATCAGCTATACATAAAATTTGGTGAAAATTGATTTTTATAAATATAAAAATAAATGGTCACAAAATCTGACATGTCGGTTATAGTTAATGGTTGGTTATATGCAGGCCTGCCCAGAGCTTCTGTGAAGCCCGGGTCCAAAAGTTTAATGGATACCCTATCATACTTCAGGTCTTAAAATGATAAATAGAAAATAAATTAGTATAGTTATTTTTTATTTTCTTTCATAGAAAACCTAAAATCACGTTTAATTAATTTTGGTTTGTAAAAACATACTGGTAAAATCAAATTTCAATAGACAAACATATCTTTTTAGCCTTCTTAGCAGCAAAATTTGAAATAACTTTTTTAAAAGAAACTTTATTGGCTAAATCTGATTTAATTGAAAAGATCTTCAAGTTGCACATTCGCTCCTGGGCCATTTTGAAACAAAGATTATCTTTCATGATAGCTAACTTGCTGAAAGATCTTTCACCTTCAGATGTTGAAACAGGCAATGTTAGAAAGGGGCTGTATACAATTATACAATACAAAAGTATACAAAAATATTGAATACAGCCCCTTTGCATAAACTTCATTTTGAAGTTTGACAGGCTTTTCCCTGGCTAAAATAATTCTTCTTATGAAAAAAAAAAATGTTAAACTTTATCAGAAAATTTATTCTTACATAAGTCTTCATAAGCCTAATTCTGAGCATTTAAATTTTAAATTTAGTTCTTCATCTTGGCCTGTCTCCCCCTGAAGAATTTTCGAACTGGGCTGCAGCTGAACAGATTGTACAGCTTTTGAATATATCCATATTTTGCAGGGCCAATCATTCAATAGCATGTGCTGCACATAAGTTCAAACTATGAGCAAAGATTGAAAATTGCTTTTGGATTATTCTGCTTAATCAAAGCTTGAACTCCGTTGTAAATACTTGCCATATTAGTGCCATTGTCATAGCCTCGGTCACAATAATTTTTTATGTTGAGTTCATTCTCTTCCAACATCCAATTTCACCTTTTTATATCAGATCCCTTATTCTTTTCAAGTTTTTCTATTATCTTTTTTTGATTATCACTGAAATGCAAAAGGTGAAAAATAAAAGTAATTTGACCGCTGTGGGACAAATCGGGAGTGCTGTCCGTGATGATGGTGAAATATATTGATTTATTGATTTCTCGAATATCTTCTTAAGCCACTAATTTGCAGCACTCCTAGATAAATTCATCCTAGATAAATTCATTCTGTGATTTCCAGGAGAAGTAATGAGCTTGTATGCTTTTTTTTTCTTCTTGGTGTTTAGCAATAAGATGCATATGATCTTGTAACATTTTGTTGTGACGAGCAATTAATTTAAGCGCTCCAAGAAGTTTGATCCCAATTTTGTATGGATCCTAATTCCATACAAAAATATCAAAATAGTAATCCATATATTTATATCCAATTATAACTAATAATTATAATTTTTAAAATATAAATAATTATAAAATTACTTTCCATCGCCTTGTTTTATCTCCAAAGGAACTTTCAACGCTCTTCACTTTATTATGCAAACCAAAGGCCAATGAAAACGCGTGCGTTCAAATGGAAAACGAAAACCTTGTAAAGTAATAATTATCCCATTTTAAATGTTAACTAAGTTTAATAGGAGAACGAAATTAATATACAAAAATTTCTTAAGCTTTAAATATGTTATCAGTTAAATTTTTTATCATTATAATAATTTTTTTAAAGGTATAAATGATGCCCCATAGACTCTGATGTCCGGGGCAAACAACTTCAATTGCCCCTCTCTTTTGGCGACCCTGGTTATATGGGCGCAGATATATTGGATACTAGAACTTTGGAAAGAAAAACAATTTTATTTTGAAAAATTTCTTTTTGGTTTACTTTTATCGATCTTCTAAATAGCATATTACAAATTTTGAGTTTTATGGGAGAGAAAAAAAACTAATTTTTCCCCCTCTACGTTTAATAAATCTCAATTAGTTATTTACAAATGCACAAAGATGGTACTTTAAGACTTTTCTTTGTTTTATTAAACACCTTGGAACAAAGATGAATCAACTTTTCATTGATTTGTTAAACGCCTATAAATAAGCAGTTGCTTAAGTTTTCTTTGGTAACATAAATTGAGTCTTATTAATAATTTTTATTAATCTTATTAAAATTATAGTTCGAATTATAATAATATAATATGGTTTTTTGCATTTATAAAAAATAAGAAAATATTAAAATTGTTTTTTTAGCTATTGTTTCACAAATTCCTCTAAAGATAAAAGGAAGAAGGTTTCATTTTCTAATGGATAAGTCTGGTGAATTTACACAACCAACATTATACGACAAAACAGTTGGAATTAAAAGGACTTTTACTTAATATAACTTTTTATGAACATAAGTAATTTTTTTGAAGTTTTTAAATATTCTTAAAACGATTTTTATTTATACAAATTTTGGAGTTTATATCGTTTATATGTTAAATTTGTATAATAAATACTTGTAGTAGGAAGCATTTAATTTCTTTTGCAATGCAATTGTATTATTGTATAATATGCAATGCATATTACGCAAAATTTGAAAAATAAATTATTTTATTATAGGAAACCAAAAAAGATTTTTTTTAAATCTTGATTTTGCACGAACCGTTTATAATGACCCTTTTGATAAATGACGCTTTTTTTTGTTGTTGTTTTGTTTTGTTCAAAAGGTGTATAAACTAAGTTTAAGAAGTTAAATTATTTCTCATATAGGCTTCAAAAGGTCGGAGAAAGAAAAATAATTGTAAATTTTTAGTTCTTCGTTCTTCGTGGAGATAAATAAGACATCGTAATATGTAGGGTAGATTAGGGTAATATAAGCATACTAAAAGATGAAAGCAGTTAAAGGAGTTAAAGTTTCTTTGTATTTTTTACTCGAATTTATATGATGATAACAGGAATCAGTATAATTAGCATAAATTTATATGCAGTATTTAGCGACTCTCATCTAATTAAAACGCTAGTAAAATCTTTGCTTTGTTAAAATACAATCATCACGCATGAATAAATTTGTGGCGCGGAACTTTGATGCTAAAATAATAGTTTAATTTTTTGTAAAAAAATGTGTTAGCTAGAAATCTTTTCCATTTTTGTTTGAAAAACAATTCATAAAACATTTAGTTTTGACTTTATTTAATGATGCAATTTTTGTGTAATATGAACATACTTAAATTACCCAGTGTTTTTCCTTAAAATTACCGAGTTAAAATCCTAAAAATGCTGTAGTAGAATTCCACGCGGATAATAAAATAAATACCTTTTTATAAAATCACAATTAGGAATTTTTTAATTCCTAATTATGATTTTTTGAAAGAGGAAAAGCGTATAATTTGATTTAAGAAAAAGTGCTTCACTTTAATTTTTTTAATACCTTGTAGCAATCCAAAATTTTAGCAATTAGTTTTAAATGACTCTCTTCCCAAAAGTCCTGTTCAGAAGAAGAAACTGTTGTGTTGTAAGAACTTTCTTAGCAATTTCTCTAACCCTAACTCAGTTTCAATCAGTTGCAAAAGCTCTAATTGACAGTGGGATTCGTTACTGCCAGCCATCAACAATTGTTCATCTGTACAATACATTAACAGTGCCGAAGCTTATATATGGCCTTCAACTATGTAAATATGATACTAGTTTTCTCAGCAAAATAGACGCTGTTGGAAGAGCAGTCTTAAAATCATTTTTTTGTATTTCGAAGTACAGTAAATATTACCTTCATTCTCTTTTTAAAATAGAAGATATCTCAACTACTCTCCATAGGAACAAAGTTAATCTTTTTATCAGGCTGCTGAAAAATCAAACTTGTTACTCACTGATAATTAATCAAATACAGGAAACACAGAATAAGAAATCCTTCACAAACGAAGTATTTGATGCATGCATCACACATGCAACACACTTGATTTAAAGTTCATACAGTGCATGTTAAATGGCAAAAAATGTTAAATTGACGCAACCCATCGTAGAGCTACAAACTAATGTTATGCTAATATTGAAAGAAATGTTCTAGTTTTGGAATTTGAAAGAAAAGAGAGAGGCGTTTAAAATCTTGACGGAGGAGAATGTTCCTAGAACTCTGTCCCAATAATATGTGGAAAACAAACCGGCTGTTTATAAGCATTTATTGCTAACAACTACAAGAGCCGTGTTGTTTTAGCTAATTTTTAATTTATTGTTTGACTATTTAAATATTATTTTACCTGTAATTTACTACCGGGTGATAAAAAGAAAAAATATAGTATAAAGGAGTGACTCAGCTGACTCCAATCAAACCTAACTAGGTCTATCATCAATGTCAAAGCAGGGACTACTAAAATAACGGGACGCGAAACTTCAAATCGATGCTAAAACGACGACAGGGCCGATTGTAAATGGCGATGTTAGTTTGATTTAGCAAAGAAGTTATGAAAAATTTACATTAATCTAATTATATTCACATTTTAGAATACATTAAAGTGATACAAATTCATATTACTAATATAATGTATATATTTTTCACCAGTATATGATAAAATTTAGGTTAATACAATAGAAATATTGGGAGATATTTACAACATTTTTTTAAAAAAAAGCCTTTTTTTTTTTGAAAAAAGTTGCTATTTTTATTGAAAAATCAAAAGTTTTTTATTTTTTGAAAGTAGTAAGATTAAAAAATTGTATTAAGTAATTTTTAATTTGAGTAATTTATTTTAAGTAATGAATCTATTAAGTGTTACAAAATGTTATGTCATATTTATAATAAATAATAATGGTGTTACTATTATTAGTTATAATCATGCCAAGAAAATGTTCAATAGTTAATTGTACCACAAATTATTTAACATCAACTTCAGAAGAAAAGCTTCATGTTTACATGTTTCCAAGTGACCCACAAAAGTTACAATATTGGTTGTCATCTATTCCAAATGCGTTTGAAACAGTAACTTCAAATATGGGTGTGTGTGAAAAACACTGGCCACCAGGCTGCAAAATGCACAAGCCTCCTCGATCAAAGTTTGAGGTAAGCATCCTTAAAGTTGTTTTTATTGATAAGTTTTACAATGACTAATTTTAATAATATCTTTTTTAGGTTCCTGTTGATCCCCCATCTATTTTTCCTGGATGCACATCTTCAATGGTGCGCCAAACAGTCTCAACACAACCAAGATCTACAAATATAAATAAAATTTCTTTAACATCACGAAATGCAATATCTGATGAATTGGATGATTTCAATCAAATTGATTTAATTAAATTTTATGATGTTGAAATAATGTTGTCTGAAATAAAAGAAAGGTAAAATTAATTTTTTCTCCTCGTTTTATGATATTTGTTTGTTTTGATTTAAAGTTTACTTGTTATTAAATCTATTTTAGATATCCTCAATACTTTGCGTTCATTGAAAATTCAAAAGTCATATTGTTTGATGTTTCTCGATCATGTCTACCTGAAACAATATTTTCTGTTGAAATTAACTGTCATTCGCGTCAAGTTAATATTTATTGTAGGCATACAAAAGTTAACTGCTATGACCTGCTCAGTTTTTCTCATTGTCTTACTCGGTGGTCACAGCTTGAAGCTATTGTCAAAAGAGTTTGTAGCTCTAGTCCTGAAATAAAAGATGAGGTATTAAGTTTGATTAGTCAAATTGAAAATACATACAGTGATACTTCTGAAGAAATTTTTTTCCTCATTGAACAACTACGCCTCACCACTTATTCTCCAAATGGACTACGCTTTTCTACTTTATGTATACAACGTGCACTTGAACTGTATTTGTCCTCCAGATGTTGTTATCGACATTTAAGAAATCTGGTTTGTTTGCCCAGTCCAAAGACTCTCATTTCTAAATTAGGAAGAGTTGGAGAAGTTGGAAATGAAAAAGAGTGCAATAATACAATCAAAGTTGTTTTTGAAAATTTTAATAGTTCTGAAAAGCGTTGCTGCCTTCTCTTTGATGAGATGTATATTAAACCAAGTGTTAGTTTCAGAGGAGGACACCTCATTGGATATAGTGAGGACAATCCCACTAAAATTGCAAAAACGTTATTAGTCTTTATGATTAAACCTATGTTTGGTAAACCTTCTTTTGTTTGTAGAATTGTACCAATATTTAAACTGTCAGTGCACTTTCTTCACGATTTGATTATAAACATAAATAAACAAATAATTGATGCAGGAGGAGAATTACTGTGTCTTTTATCAGATAACCATCCCACAAATCGAAGTGTTTACCAAAGTTTCGTTGTTAATAAAAGTTTTCCATGGCAAGGTGTTATAGAAAAAGAAAAACCAGTTATTATGCTACACGATCCAGTTCACTTGTTTAAAAGTATAAGAAATAATTGGTTTACGGAAAAAACACAAACAATTAGTTTAAAAATTAATAATCAACCTCTCTCTGGTGATTGGTCTCACATTGTTCAATTATATAACAGACAGAAAACTTGTGTTGCCAAAACTACAAAGCTTTCACGCAAGTCAGTGTACCCTAGTTTGATTGATAGACAAAATGTTGCAAACATGGTTGCTGTATTTAATGAAAAAACTGTTGCAGCATTGAGATTGGCTAATTTTGAGAACACTGCCTGTTTTTTAGCACCAATTGTTTCATTATGGAACATGCTAAATGTTAAGAGGAAAGGTTGTGATGTTTTACTTAATGATATCAATAGGTCTCCTTTCCAGACACTCGATGACCTTAGATTTAATGAAATTTTAGCATTTGCTGATGCAACTTCTAAGATGTCAGAGGGAAAGGGATTAAAGCGTCATAATACTTTTACACCAGAAACAAAACATGCTTTAGTTAACACCCTACAAGGATTGGTGGAATTAATAAAAAAACTGCTTTCAGAAGATCACCAATATGTTCTTCCCGGTATTTTTCAAACAGATCGTCTTGAAGGTGAATTTGGCATCTACAGGTAAAATTATTTTTGTGTTACTTATAGTAAAGAAAATTTTGTAAGTTTGAAATCTAAAAAACAAATATTTCTCTTATTTATTTAAATGTATTATTTTTTAACATACATAAGTTTATTGATTCGTTTTTTTTTGACAATTGCTGTTTTAACTATAATTTAATACTCGGTTCAACTCAATTTATTTGGTTATATCTTTTTGCAATTTTTTTGCTTATTTGTAGACAACTAAGTGGCGGAAATTATTTTATCTCAGCAGAACAAGTATTGAACAGTTTGCACCTTCAGCGGTTAAAATTATTCAGCAAAATAGTTTCTTTGGATGAAACTGACATTCATTGCTCACGCATACATTCAGACTGTTGCACAATGGATCTATTGGAAGAGGATATTATTTATTTAGATGAATGTTTAATTAATGCAGACAATGAATCTATTAATGATCAGGAGAATGCTGCCCTTTTTTATATGGCTGGTTATGTACAGCACAAGATCAATCCGCAGCGTATAGTTGATACAACAACATCACAATCAGCTAGTTCTGAATTTACAGATTATGTTTCACGTGGTAAATTGCGTTATCCTGGTGATACTCTTCTCCAGTTTATTTGTGTTTGTTATCTACTGTTTAACAGCGTTCCAATGTCTGAAAAACGTTTTCAATGTGTTGTTTATTTAAAGAAATTATTTTTATTCTTGCATTCAACATTACCATTTGATTTAGAAACAGACAGTATAGGTATTTCAAAAGTTATATCAATAATAACTAACTGTTTCTTAAAAGGTGTTACGACCCTTTTATAATACATCTGATATTGTTTCATTAAACATTGAGGACAGAAAAAGAAAGAAACTCAATACTTAGTGGTCTGATTATTTAGTTGACGTTGGTGATATAATTAATAACGTTTTGAAATGTATTTATGGCTTTATATTTATATGGTTTAAAATTTGTTTATAATTATATATTTATTATTATGATATGAATATATAGTATGATAAGTAGTGATTAATTAGTTTATTAACATTGTCTTTAAAAATAATTATTTACAGCTAATTTACAGTTTCTTTGTAAAAAATTGTTTTATTTTTAACACTTAATCAACACAATTTAATTTTTGTTTGAAAATAGTGATAAATAATTGAGCCATAACATTTTTTTATTAAATTTCTATTCATAATTATATTTTTGTTTAATAATAGAAGTGTTTCGCTTTTTTTTTCATCGGCCCTGTCGTCAAAACTACATGAAATTAGAGTTTCGCGTCCCGTTGTTTTAGTAGTCCCTGTGTCAAAGTATTCTAGTAGATTCAAATTGCTTCATTCTGATCACCACTTTTGGATCTTGGTGTCAAAACAACACCTAGCAGTATGTCATCTGTGTCATCCATATCAAAAAATGTAACACTGATCTCAATTCTTTCTACAGAAACAGTTATTTTTTGATTTTCTTTAATCTGTTTCATCCTCTTTCCATCAAAATAAAGACATAGCTTTTATAATCCCCTTTATAATTTCTTGCCTGAGCTTATCTCTTAATATCTCAAACTTCTTAAATCTCTTTCTACGGACTGTACCTCTTGATAGATTAATATATTCAAGATTTACACCAGCTATATTGCAAATATCAGTTACTAATAAAGTTTGTGGGCGTATACCTACTTTGTATTGGTCAAAAACTCCAGCAACACAAAAAAACAGATCTTCAGCACTTATATTTATAATTATCTTAGATTTAGTAGTGTCTTAGTAATCTGAAACTAAATTCTAAACTAAATTTTGATTCAGAAATTTCAATTTCTAGATAAACAAAATTAAACCTCAAGTTCTTCGAATTTTATTGCATTTTTTGTGATTCTACCTTTATCTCTTGGTTCCTCCATCCTCTTTAGTCGAATATTTTTATTTTTAACCACATTTTTTAATACGTTTTTTTTATTTATCCAGTTCTTCTGTAATAGATCTAGATGCAACTGAATATCCTCCTTTTTGGCATTCTTGCAACGAAAACAATCCCGATTTCCTTTTTGTTCAAAATTTACTAGTCAAATATCCAATAGTGTATTACTCTCCTCTAAAAACTTATTTTGTATCTTAGAGAAGTTGTCATCGCTTGAGTTCCAGTTCAATGACTTGAGATGATGCAGATTTATGTACTTATGGAATTCAGTATCTTGCCCCTGACACTGGATTCACTGATGGTAAAATCTTAAACTCTGCTTTATTCCAAACGTAGAGCGGAGGCAACACATTTTATTTAGAATTAAAACTTTTGCAGATCAGATCCCTGTTTTCATGCTTCTGAGGGCAGGCTACTATCAACTTAGTTGATTGAAATCATATTGATCTAAAATAAAAATAAACAAGTGTTTATGGTTATGGTTTTTTTGTTCTTATATAAACTTATGCCTCATTGTGTCTCAGTTTAAACAACTAGGATGGGGGAATAGTAGATTAAAAAGTTATTGCATAAAATAGACCAATTTTAAATTTTATCAATGTTTAATAGAATATTTATATAAAAAATGGTTATTATTTGGTTCTAACTAGGAGATTTTAGAAACTGTATTTATCTTATTAATATTATTGAATATTTCCGATGGTTTCTTGAAAGCTCATTGATAATGTACTTTCTCTTCTCAGCCTTCTTATTTTTGTTTTTTTGAGGTTTTCAGTTAATACTTTTATTAATAGTTAAATTAAAAAAAAATTTATTTCTAGTGTCCCCCTAGAAAAACTAGAAAACCATTTTATTATACAATTTCCAAATAAATATATGTATATTGAAGTTATACATAACTATTACATAATTATATGAGAAAAAACTAGTTCATAAATCATTAAAAAAGCAAAATCTAACTATTACTATAAGCGGTTAAAATAAAAATGATAGACAAAATGTAGTTAAATTAAAACAGTATAGCAAAAACAAAATTATTGTTCAAGTAGTCATCATTATTGAACCCCACTGTGAATCAGGCTTCATTAAAACTTCTATACCAAATAGACCAGATAGATTAATTTTTATATATTCTAAAAACATTGGCTTTCCAAATTCTCTAGGGTAAGGGGCATTAAAAAAGAAATAACTATTCGGCTCGCATCTAAAAAAAATCTTAAATTTTATCAAAATTTAAGAAATTGGGATTTTACATGCTGAAAACTTATATTTATAATTATCTTAGTTTTAGTCTTTTATTTGTCTTCGTTATCTGAAGTTCTAAACTAAATTTTGATTCAGAATCATTTCTATTGGTCTAAGATAAAAAAATCTTAAATTTTATCAAAATTTAAGAAATTGGGATTTTACATATAGCTGAAACTGACCTCAGAAAAAAGTTTTAGTCATACACATAAAATCAGTAGACATAAGGAAATGGGAAAAACATATGCGCATGTTTTTTTCTATTTCCATTGGGAAAAACATGCAACATTTTTGGGACACCTTAATGAGCATATTTGTATGCTAAATACATGCTTATCATAAAACATTTTATGGCCTGCCTAATATATATATATATATATATATATATATATATATATATATATATATATATATATATATATATATATATATATATATATATATATATATATATATATATATATATATATATATATATATAGGGCAGGCCAAAAAACAAAAATTTTGAAAATTTGCTCATGTCTGCAAAAATACATGATCCTTTAATTTCATGATCATTCATGATCATGATCACATTCATGATCCTACACATAAGAATACAAATGATTAAAAAAATATTTTTTTTTGAGTACTGTCAAATTTGATTCGATTATTTTTGTTTTCACGTTCAAATGATAAATAACTAAATGCTACCGGCTTTTTCTTTTGATTGATTTGTAACTTGTATTGTATTTTGCAAGTTTTTTGATAAAATTTTCCACTGTACCCCAGTTTCTGCTATAATTTTTTTTTTTTACTTACTACAATAATATATAATTCGTTTTACAGTTTTAAACAATAAATTAAAAAATAATCTAAATGAAAGAAGTATATATAAAAATAAAATAAAAGATACAAAAGAATTTCGTAAAAAAATAAAATGTATAAAAAATGAGAAAATTCGAAAATGAACGGCAAGTCTTGTCACCAAAAAACCACTAAAATTAAACACTTTAAGGTGAGTTTACACTCACCCATTTTTTTACGGGAACAAATAGGGAAGGAAAATATAACCACGTGAGCAAACGTAGTTTTATCTTTAATTGCATTTTAAATTATATTGTTCCATAATAATGGTCAGCAAAATGAATGTTCCGTAATAATGATCTGCAAAATTCGGCCATTCTTGTGCTTACCATATTTCAAGAAGTTGCTTAAAATATGGTTGAAGATTCCAAAATAAAGATAGAATTTTATTGGAGGAATTAAGAATAAGCTCAGATTACCTGCAGGGTTTAAATAATGGAGGATTGACAATACTTGAATAATTCTTAGCCAAATGAGGTTTTGCGCCTGAAGAGAGAAATCCAGCATAGCTGTTGCACTAAATGTTCTTGACTGGCCTAAGTTTGTTGTCAGATTTGACATCACACCAGCAACATGAGTGTTTGCTAAGTGATACTGGATACCACATAAAATGTTGGCTACTTTCATGTCATATGAAATTATGTTAGACACATCTTAATTTTGTATTAGGCATATTATTGTCCAAAGATTTCATATATTTCAAGAATATCTTCTGCTGCAAAAACGATTAGCAGTTTTTTTACACCACTATTTTGGCGGGAAGAACTTGATTAGAGACAGATGATCCTTGAGTATAACTTTGCTAGAAGTCTGTTTCAAATACGCTGAGGGTAGTTTTTAAGAATGAACTGCCTCCATCAATCCCAAGTTGAACTAAATAATGTGATGTAAGTCCTATTACTAAGAGAATGTAATTGATTAAGGCATTCAGGTTCTTGCAGAGAACACCTTTTTTGATTTTCTCTCGATTTTCTTGAACTCGATTTTTTTTTGTTCAGAATGATAACATTTTACATCATGAAAAAATCTGCTTATGTTTTACAGAGGTTGTCAAGTTTTTGCTTCACGTTTGCCTCTACAGCTCTTTTTTCCATTGAGTTGTTTAAAGCTGATGCAAGACTTTTCACACCAATATTGGAAAGATTCGCACTGTTTTGATCTTGGACCAATGTTTCAGCAGTAAATAGCTGCTGCTAGTACTTCGCTGAATGTCCTGGCAGAACTTTTAAACATTTACCTCCACTCGCTCGACCAAGTTTAATAGTACCTTCTAGAGAGGCATCTTTTTTAGGGATTAAATCAGCTCTTATTTGTTTAGTCCTTAACGGCAAGTTTCTGCCTTGTACCTAAAGTACAAAAGTGGTGACAAAAAAATACCGCATCTTTTTTCAGCTGGCTGTGATGATGATGGTTTAGGACTGAAAGCTTTGATACGGTTAGTTTCAGAGTAGACTTTCGTTTTTTGATTCAATATATCAAGCTTAATCTGTGGCAAATTTTCTTTGAGTTTTAATTAAGCCACCCTATAAATTATACTCTGGCAAGCACCAAAATATCTTCTAGATGGGTTAATGATAATCAAATTGAAATTGTACAAGCCTTGTATCTGTCCAATAATACTAACAGTATCAAGTCATTGTAGTTTGTTTTGACATAAATTGCAAATGCCAGTTGAAATTTTCTCATCATTAAAATTAATATTACACTTAAAAATATTATTGACTCTTTCAATCAAAAAATCAGTTAATTTGCAATCACTTTTCTTCAAGCACAAAAAGCAAACAGATTTTCTGCAATCACCATGAGTTTTCAGTGACTTTTTGAGTAATTTTTTACATTAAGTTCAATTACTGTTATTTTTTTTAGTGAAGCGATTAGAATACGTTTTAATAATATTTGTTCATGCAAGCTTTCGATTTTCTTCTTCTTTCTATTATCACTCACCGGTTTTTAAAAAAAACTTTACTCGAAATTACTCGAAACTACATTAAAAATGTCGGACAATTGTAAATAAATGTTTAAATATCTGTCTAACA